AGTGAAAAAGATTATGAAATACATTTCAGCTACTTGTGATTTTGGCTTATGGTATTCTTTCAATTCTAACAGTTGTTTAGTTCGGTATAGTGATGCCGATGGGGCAGAGAGTTTGGATAATCGAAAGAGCACCTCGGGTGGTTGTTTTTATCTTGGAAATAATCTTGTCACGTGATATGGCAAGAAATAGAATGCTATCTCTCTATCCACTGTCAAGGCTGAGTATATTATCATAGGGATTTGTTGCACTAAGATTTTATGGTTAAAGCAAATGTTGTGTAATTACAGTATTGACCAAGATTATGTGGCAGTGTTTTATGATAACACGAGTGCCATTAATATCTCTAAGAACCTATTCCAACACTTTAGGACTAAGCGCATTGATACAAGACATCACTTTATTAGATAGTTAGTAGAAGAGAATGTCATTTCTTTTGCACAAGTGAGCACAAAATTCTAGTTGGCAGATTTATTTACAAAAGTACTTAACTATGATACATTTGTTTACTTGAGAAGTCCATTAGACTACTTTAACTTGAATAATTGTCTTTGTATTGTTGAATAAAACAAGAAAGAGTTTCGTTTATTTTTGTTTGTCAAGACTTTTTATCTGTGCTAGCACTTTAGTATAAGTTTCTTTCTTGCTTGTGTGCTAACTCTGTTAGGTTGTGTCCACACTTTTAACTCTCTTTATAGCATGACCTTATCTCATCTTGAGTAGTTTGTTTGTATGCTTGTCACGTTGTGAAAAAGCTACCTTGCTTATAGTGTGACAGTTATTTTTAAGTAATTTTATGAAATGTAGAGACCTTTATGCTTTGGAAAATCTACCATTAAAAGGGCTATCTTCTTGCAAGTGAAAGCTACACTTAGTTATGTTTTGAGAGTTATTTTCCCTTTGTGTCAAAAAGATATAGTAAAAGAAAAAGACAAACCATATGTCCTGAAATGTTGAAAAAGAAAAATGCAAATTTTTTAGGGCATGAGGGAAGGGGGAGTTTCCTTGTAAAAATCTTGCTTGACCAATGTGTCATTTACCCCCTTGATTGTTAAAATTGTATGGATTATTCATTGTGATGTGTGTGCTTGTCAAGATTAAGAATTGAATACTTTGTTGTTCTTAGCATAGATTGATATGTCTTGATTCTTAAAAATTAAATGAAACTTCTCATTGATTCATCCTCTTAAATTTTGTTTTGAATTTTGAATAAAGTCTGTTGCTTTTGAAATACGTTGTCACATTGGGAGATAGTGTGCACACATGTTTGCATTTAAATGCGTTAAGATCTTCAAGTCTGATTCTTATGTGCTCACACATGTTTAATGCTCACACCTCTTATTAGTTTGACTATTGTATGCCCACACTTTTTGTATGCTCACACACCTTGTTGAGTCTGTTTGTTGTGTGCTCGCATGCTTCGATTGCTCTCGCACATTCTCTATTGCTTATTTTGTGCTCGCATGATTGTGCTATGTGCACATCAGTTTTATGTAAACAACCCATTTTTAGTAAAACTACTTTTTAGGATTTTTGGGGTCTTTACTATTTAAGTGCAACTACACGCCCCTTCAGCAATAGAGACCTTTTTGCGCCGCCCTTATTTTTCCTTCTCTCATTTTTCTCTCTAACATCTTTATCACTTTTTCTTCTCTTTGTCTCCTCATGGATCCTAAAAGAGAAACAATGGAAGACAAACACAAGAGATTCTTGGTGATGAAAAAGGTTGTCTCCAAAAAGAAATCACAAACAGAGGAAGATGCACCCATATCCCTTATTTCAAGTGCGTCAAAATTGCAAAGGGAAGAACTTGTTTGCATATCCCCTACTCCAAATGCATCCTCTTCTGAAGGTTCCTCATCTTCATCATTCTCCAGGACTCTAATAGTCTACCGATCGCATCTCTGAGAACCCAAAAGGAGTCTCCTACCAAAACTACTCCTTTAAAGTCTTCAAGTTAGATCAAGAAAGCCAAAATGAAGGGTAAATCTATTGTGACAACCTCCTCACTTGGTAAAGTCTCTTCCTTTATTGCTCTTGAGGCCGAAAATCGATTTAGAGACCACATTGTCAATAGGACTATTGTGTGTGAGGCTAATGTGAATCTTGATGACTTTCCTAAGTTTCATAAGATGCTTAAGAAATGGAAACGAGTTAAATCTGTGGGCAAATCGAAAATACCCACTCAAGCTCTTGTTCAAGAGTTTTATGTTAATTTTGGCATTGACAATGTTGAGTCTGAGTCCGAGTTTGAGTCTGATGAGCATGATAATCAGGTTTATGTTAAAGGGACATGGGTTATGTTTAATGAGGATGTGATTAGAGATACTCTAGGTTTGCCCATAGTTGAAAATCCTAATAACCTATCTACTGTGGATATGAATATTGTTGCTAAAGTTCTGTCTAGTGGGTTTGTTGCTAAGTGGCCTAAGTGTGGGTTCCTCCAACCAAGTGTGTTATCACGTTTGTACAGACTACTTTTCAAAATTTCCTTGACCAACTGGGCCCCTTTGATGCACAATTCCACTGTGAGGCAAAATAGAGCTTAGCTCATCTATGGGATAGGGACAAGGAAAAAGATTGATTTAGGAACTCTTCTTTACACAAATATAAGAGTAGCCACAAAGACCACCCATGCCATTCAAGTGTTGCCTTTTCCCTCTCTCATCCACATAATTATTGCTCCCTATAATCCAAAATGCCATGAAGTTGAGCCATGTTTGAAGTTTAAGACTGTCAGTAAGAACTTTTCCGATAGCCTTCCAAGAGTGTTCCATCCTCATCCACTACTAAACCTTTAAGAACTAACACTTATAAATCCAAGTTGTTTGATGAAATGCAGGTCTTGGAGCAATCCATGGAAAATGTGCTTCAATACGTAAAGGAGATGCACTCCTCCTTCAATGCTTACCTTGACAAACTGGAGGAAGAAATGAAGAAGTCGAAGGATGAACCTAGTGCTTCCTCTTCTATACTTGAAGATCTTCCAATCAATCCCGAAAAAGAAGTAGAAGATCCTATCCTAAAGTGGATGTCCCTGCCTCTCTTGTTGTTGTTGATGACATTCCTGCCTCCCCTATTGCTACTGATAATGTTCTTGTCTCCCCTATTACTATTGAGAATATTCTTGCCTCTCCTATCGCTACTGATGACATTCCTCCTTCTCCTGTTCTTGCTACTGATGCTACGTTGAAGACTCTCATGTTCCTCTACCTCAACTACTCCTCAAAAAAAGAAATCGAAGAGAAAAGCCAACCATTCATCGGTCCTTACTCGAAAATCCACAAGGATTAGTTCAAACATATGAACAAAGAAAGGGAGTAGAGTTAGAGTGGAATGAATTTTTTTCTGAACTCGTTATTACTATACATTATTTTGCTGCTTATGAACTTTCTTTATGTTTGTTTTTATTTTTGATGAACTTTCTTTATGTTTATTTTTATTTTTGTTATGAATTGATGAAACTTTGATGATTTAGTTAACTCTCTTTGGGGGAGTTTGGTTGGTTGTTTGTTTGTATGATGTTTTTCGGTTTCATGACTGACATTGTTTGTGTTAGCTTTGTTGCTTACTTTGTCTCTTATTGGTTGTTTAAATCATTTTTCTATAAGCCAGGTTTTTGCTTTGATCTTATGATCAATTTGATGCTTTATTCATAAGTTTGATAAAGGGAGAGATTATAGAATATTTTGTCAAACTTATGCTGTATGTGTGTGCACAGGTTTTCCAAACATATGTCTTTGGCATGTTCTTTTCGAGTGTGTGCACAAGTGATGTGTGTGTATACACTTGTGGTAGACTTATGCATGTTGCATTTTATTTCGCAAACTACCTTGTGTGTGCACACACTTTATTTTTGTGCTAACATCACATGTCTAACTCAATTTGGCGCAAGTTGCGTTTTTGTCCAAATAGCCATGATATTTTTTCTCACCTTTTTGTGTTGTCATGAGGATCACCTACAAGTGTCTCAATATCCCTTTGTGGTCCAGGGAAAAATCAGCTTTTTCCCATTTTGGTTGTGGTCCTAAAATAAAGATGGAAACATTTCATTTCTTGGACAAAAATGTGTCAGCCCATGTCTACTAACTTGGCAAGAATTGAAGCGCATGAAATTCATCTATATCATCTTCATTTTTGCGTTTTGTTGAGCTAACATTTGCATTTGTTTTTGTTTGTGCTATGAACTTTTCAGAGAGTATATTCTTCAAAGGTTCTCCATATATTTTTGTGCCAATCTTTCATCATCCTTTATTCTTGTTGAATGGCGGTTTGGAACTTGATTCCATTGTTGATGCTGGAGCGTGGCTTCAGCGTGTGAAGCTTGGGTGGAGCTCAAGTGTTCTTCAAGTGTGTTCCTTGCATGAAGAGATCGTAAAAGTGACAAGACATTCGAGATTCAGAGGGTAGTATTTTGTGTAACTAGAACAAGGAGTTCTCTTTGCTATAGCTAAAATCAACTTTGAACTATATCTTGTAATGTTTGTTTCTCAGTGGATTTGTTTCGATTTCGACGAGGTCCCATAGATGTAGGTTAAGAGTGGTTTTAGTCGAACCATGTACATGTTGGTGTGCTTCGCCTTTCTTGTTTGTGGATGTTGATTTATTCTTAACTTGATATCTAATTAATCAACTTGGTAAAAACTTTCGCTGCTCTTTAAAAACGGGTACTCTAACATAAACTAGAGTTCACCAACTCTAACATATTAATCTTTAAGAAACTCAACTCACATAAATTTGTTTACAGGGTACAGATTGATATCGTTGTAAATCTTAATACAACCAGTTTTAATTAATATTAATAACTAATAATATTAGTATATAATTAATAATTAAGTATAACTTAATGATATAATTACTATAATAATTAATATGAAGAAAATGTAAATCAAAAACTTTAGTTTAAACATCATTAATTTAAAAAGATAAATAAATCATATATTCTAACACTATTAACTATTGACCATTTAATGAACTGAAGTCAATGATGGGTTACGTGAAATAAAAAGACAAAAAAAGGAAAAAGAAAATACATCGTATCATGGGACAATCAAGAACAAAGAGTATCAATCGGTATTTTCGACAGGAATTCCAATACAGCCAAAGTAACAGACTAACTTCAAATTTTCCCTTATCATCTCATAAAAAGTTCTTTCCTTGTGGATGATGCCGGGGCCGTATGTGGAAACCATTAAGTCCCATAAGAGGGGGTATTGTGAAGACGCAAACAAGGACACAGGGACTAAAGATGATACGAACATTAGAGCAAGTGTCCAATACGCCTTTCTGTCGCAGAACACCAGATAAACATTGGCACAAAACGCTACCATCAACGATGTCAGAGAGAGGAACAACATAACAAGACCCCATATTAACCTTTTGGGCAGGACATAAAGAAAATCACCTTCTGCATAGCGTGCAGTGAGGATGGACAAAAACATTATGATGGCAGCAACTGATGAGAAGAAAGAGAGTGCATCTGAAATACTGAAGGTGGTGAAGGCTATCTGTTTGTAAAGATTTGGTCGGCCAGCATCATTGTAATCACCAGGTACAGTGATTGCTGCTGCAAATACTATTGTGGCAATGAGTGCTGCTGCTACTGAGCACGAGTTTGCTACAACTTTCATCCAATCCCGACCTTCTTTAACGAGTTCCCTATGAGCCTTAGTAAATATCATTGCCGGAGTTTCTCCATTACAATTTTTGTCCACTTTGTAGGCAGGCTGTACAATATTCTCTATTTCCTGCAAAAGATAAAACTTCCTTATTACGAAAATATAATATATGAAAGATTGCGAGTGTACTTCGTAAAATCATTACCCTTTAGCATGTAATAACAACTTTGCTATATGGGGTATTGTAAATTCAGATAAATAAAAAAAGGTTTTGAAAAGGTATAAAATTTACAAAACATTACAAAAAAAAAGAGGAAGAAAGGGAGGGGGATAATTTATTGAGGGCATTTGGATCATGTAATAATTTATTATAGGGGGATATTATATTAACGGAATAAAAGATCACCTTTAAGATTAGTGGGAATGTTTAGAAAATGTGTTTAGTTAGTTCAAATAAATTAATTAATAATATGTTTGGTTTGGAGGATAAATAAGTAAGTATGTTATATAGATTACTAAATTGCTCTCCCTTTTAAATATTAATATAACAATATTTTTTATTATTATTTTTTGAATAATTTTTTTAAACCCCTACTTTTCATATTTAGCAAAAACACCTTAACAACAAAAAAGTTTTAAACTTAACAAAAATACCCCTACCCACCTCAAGCCACTGTCGGCAGCCAGCCACCACCACTGGCAATGCCACAGATGTGCTTGTGACATCAATAGTGTCATAGATTTGGCCGTGAAATGGCCGGTTGTTTCACGGCCAAAGACCCTGTTGTTTCACAAGCAGATTAGTGGCCATTTCACGGCCATAGATCTAGTCATGAAATAGCCAGATCTAGCTTTTTCCAACCATGGATCTATGATCTGTGGTTGAAAAAAGCTTTATTGATGCACAACTAGCCATATACAGTCGGTCATACGCCATTATGGTGACTTTTGGCTACCTCCAACGGCTGTCAATGGTGGTGGCTAGTTCATGGTATAATGATATTTTTGTAAATAATGACAATAACAAGGGCAATGTTGTTTGAAAATTTTAAAAAACTAGGACAAAAGTGTTTGCATGAGTGAATTGTGTGTTTTATAAGTGTTAAAAAATATAAGGTTAATTTGGACCAAATGCTCAATTGTTTAGCGGTAATATGAGAAACAAAATTTATTACCAAGGGTAAGTTTTAATAACAACAGGCACCCCCTCTTCCCCCCCACCCCCCCGCCGCCCCCCTTTCTCTCGTTTCTTCTTCTTGTGTTGGATATATACTAAGAAATCCATGCCCATGCTCATCTCTTTTCTGAATACTCAAATCCAATCCATTATCCATTTTAAAAAATGGGGTGGGTTTGGGTTATCCTTTTAAATGAAATTTTTGGATCGCCCTATATTATATATATATATAGAATCTAGCAGAATTTATGCAAACTATTTCTTAGAATAAATTGATCATGATAAATAATAATTATCTAATATAAAATTTGTACTCAAAGTTTAGTAATTCTATCAAAAAAAATTATCCAAACAAATTGTAAGTAAAAGAAATAAAATGATATTGGATTTAATTATAGTTTCATAATAAATCTGATTCCAATTAATGTAAAATCATAATTTATCAAATAACTTATAATCTAAAATACTTAATTTAACAAAATGATGAGACCACGAGCATATTGGTGTATGGGAGAAGAAATAAAGGGTGAGGAGAGGTTAAAGGATGAAATATAAAAGAAATATTCATACAATTTTAAAGTTGAATAAAATATATGATGTTTTAATTATATATTAAAAATTTAATGACATTCATTATTTTTAAATTTATGTACTTTGGGGCAAATGGGGCTGGGCTAGGTCAAAGTTAACATTCCCAGGTCTGCTCCAAAATTTAAATCGAGATATCTAAACCCAAATCCGATCCACTCCAAAATTTTTATTGACCAAACCCAACTCAAGGAGCCCCAAACCTGTGGATCATTTTGACATCCCTGAGGGGGCGTTTGGTTGGGGGGTATATAACATTACTGTTGTTATGTCATCTTATATTACTTGATTAATATATTTGATTATCAAGTAATATAAGATTTCGATAATCTTTCAATATCAATAGTAATTACTGTTGATAATATTATAGGTAATTTGATAATTCATTTTCTTAGGAATTGTAAGATTTTCTTACCAAGGTATTCTTAATTTTGTTATAATTCTATTGCTTATTAATAAAATTTTAAGACAATAATACCCTTATTTTTAAATTAATTTACATGAATTTGCCATTTACTATTTCACCCCAATTAATTAACTTTTTGGACAAAATTACGCTTGAATTCAAAATAAATTACAACTCACCCAAGCCACCACCCCCACCCACCTGTCGCCCGAAGTTCGATCTTCAGTGGATCTCAGTGGATTTTCACCCGATAAAGATCGGCCCCTTAACGGTTTAGACAATACCAGTAAAGATCAGTCTAGATAAAACCAGCAATTGTCGGTATAGTCATATTTAAACCGGCAATTGCCGGTATTGAGTAGATGATATGGCCTATAAAGGCCAAATCTACTCCAATTAGGGTGTTTTCGCTATCAATATGCCCAGAAATGGCTATATTGGAGCCTCTTGTGACAGTGGGCTACTCACGGCGATCCAGGAGACTTATGGCGACAAATGGTGGTGGCGAGTAGTTGCTTGGGGTGGTGGGGGTGATTTTGTTATAAATTAAAGTTTTATATAAGCGGGGTGTTTTAGCTAAATCTGAAATATTGGGGGTTAAAAAAATTATTCAAAAATTAATAATAAAAATAAGATTATATTAATATTTAAAAAGAGGGCAATTTAGTAATTTAAATAACATACCCACCAATTTGTTTCTCCTAACCAAACATATTAATATAACATACTTACTCATTTATTCTAACTAACCAAACACATTTTCCTAGAGATTCCTAGTAATCTTCAAGGTAATATAAGATTTTAGTAATCCTACATTCCCTGAATTAAACGTATCCTAAATAGTAATAGACTTTGTCTATATATAGAAATAGAGACTGTTCCATGCAAATATGTTCCATGCAAATACACTAATTTGACACATTAGACAACTATCGAATAATAATGGTTTTTAATTTGCCTTGTAATGTTTCATCAGAAGTCTTACCTTGAACCATTGTAACTCATGCTGCATCTGCAGGGCTGCCCCAGGAACGAGATTTAGCTGATTTTCAGGTGCCAGCAGTCCAGCCAAGTGCAAGACATTGTTCCCATAAACATCACGAGACATCAACAACAAATGCTTGTGACTACTCATTTTAAATATGAGGTTGAATACCTTCTCTCGACGATTGATAATTGTCAAGTGAAATATATTATGTTTCTGTTCATTTGTAAACCAAATTGCATCAGGAAATGACTTTATAATCTCCTCAACGATTTCGTAGACTCCCAATTCTGCTGCTAAAAGAAACGACTCTTTGAATATGTAGAAAGTTCTTTCATTGTCTAGATTCAATTTCATTTTGTTGCACAAGTATTTCACAATTTGAAGTACACCGTCATGCATCAACTTTGTCTCCCGTATCTCCTTTATATAACTTGGAACTGCAAAGTTAATAGACGATGACATAACTATCCAATGAGTAAAATATTGTAAGCTAACAAAGAAGAAAACATCTAAGAGTTTCAAACTTAGAGATTATATTGTAAAGTAACTTATTAAAATCTATATATTGAAAGGAAACTTATAAAACTAAATGTATTACATTATCCACTACTAGTGAATAAAGTTTAAAGGTGGTATAAGCAGAGCCAACTATAGACCAGAGAGGGCCTGGAATTTTCAAAAATATTTTAGGTTAGTAAAATTAAGACCTAGATAAATTACATCATTTCTAAATTACCCAATTCAATAAAAGTTTTAAAACAAAATAAATGAAATTTTATTTCATAAAGAAATTAGGTATATCTTATACAAGTTTAATTATTACAAAAAAAAAAAAAAAACCTTAAATGTTCATATTTTTTCCTAAGCTTAATAAATTAGGGTTTTTATGTAGGATAAATTCCTTATTACCTTAAGATTATATTATAATAGGTTAATTTAGTTTACCTTTAACAAATTAGAAATTGTTGAATTGGAGGCTTAAATAGTATAAAGATTGTGTTCACATGATCTTTGTCTATGTCTGATGAATGTCATGATATTTTTCTTCCACATTCATCACATGTTCAAGACTTCAAGTTGGACTTCTATGGAGACATTTAATTGTGCTTCATGTCTAACACATAGAAGTCAATATGCTCGAGCTAATGTTAACATGCAATGGCTTCCCTTCGCTATAAAAATGGGTGCCATTTCAGGGAAACCCAAGCCATTCACCAAAGCTCTCAAGTTAAGTGACTTTTTGAATGTGAGAGATACTTGTTGACTAATGTGCTAAAAGGCTACAATTGTAATTTGGCATTGGTCAATATTGTGTCTTTTTCTAGAAACGGCTTTACTCTTTTGTTTTGTTCATAAAAATAAAGCTGTTGACTGTACTTAGTTTTCTAATGAAAGAAGATTCCATATATTGCATTACTCAAATTACTCTCTCAAATTCATCTTCTCGTTCATTCTTTGTCATTTCCACATGGTATTAGAACATTAACTAGCGTCAATGGCGAAAGATTCTAGTGAAGATTCTAGCTTTTCTTCCTTGCTTAGTAGCTTAGTAGCTTCGAAGAGATGTTGAGAGACTCTGTTCATCATTCCACCTCACAAATTCTTAAAGAATCTGCAAATTGCTCCACCTCAACTCAAGCCTCAAGCTTGCAAGTTATCAATCCGAAGCTTACATGCAACAATTACCGTTTTTGGAGCTCACAAGTCTTGTTTACAGTTGGATCACATGAGCTTGAGGATCATTTGCTTGGCAAAATTCCATGTCCTCCTCCTCTTTTACTTTCCAATTCTGAAATTGATAGTGACCTAGGTCAACTTAGAGGAGAGCTTAAGACTAGTTTTAATTCCATTGGTGATAAGTTGAATCTTACGTACGTTATGTGGAAACATATAGATAAATTCCTTGTAAGCTGGCTTTTGGCCTCTATATCTAAGAGTGTGTTTGGAGTTATGCCGAAATGTCGTCACTCTACAGAAATTTGGATTACTCTTGCAAGTGAGTTTATAAGTGATTCAAAAGCAAGAGCATTACACCTTAAAAAATTGTTACAGACAATGCACAAGTGCAATTTGCGTATTGGAGATTACATAAAGAAAATGAAAGAAATAGTTGAGAGCTTATCTGCTACTGGATTGGTTGTCTCTGATGAAGATCTTTTACAATATCTCTTAGATGGTCTAAGGCCTGAATATGATGTAGTAGTTGTGAATCTTACCTCTAGAATTGAATCGAAGGTTGATACTATCACATTGCAAGAGGCTCAGTTTTAATTGTAAAAGTATGAGATTAGATTGGAAAAATTTAACTCCATTGATTTGTATAATAGTTCTGCCAATTTAGAATCTGTTAACAATCTTGGAGTACTTGGTGATGTGACTAATGCAGCTTCTTTAGCTAATTCACATTCCAATGCTAAATCTTCTCCTGTTCCACAACCTTCTGTTTTTCCCTCACTCATCTTGTTAGGAAATCCACACTATCATCACTAATATGTTGTTCCAGCAACTGAGAATTACAATACTGGCTCAATGCAGCAATCTCTTCCTATGTTTAACTCTAGACCTGCTAGTTTTCAATCGTATGGAAAAGGTAGAGGTAGAAGCTTTGGAAAAAACAGACTAATTTGTCAAGTTTATAACAAGGTTGGTCACTCGGCTGTCCAGTGCTATCATTGTTTCAATTTAGCCTATAATGGTGCTTACAATGGTGGTTTTAGTAGAACTCCATAGCCAACTCATAATGTTTATGGTCCACCAACACAAATGCCTAATTTTTAGTAGCTTTCCCGTGCTTATGGTTCATCCACTACATATGGATCCTCAATACCAATGTCTAATTCTCAACAACATTTCTCTAATACCTATACTAGTACTAATTCAAACCCTACTCATCCAATACCTCAACAATTTCATTCCTATCAAGTTTTCTCTCCTAGTTTTTCTCATCGCAATAACAGTTTTCAAAACCCAGCCATTCCATAACCTTAGTCTGAAAATGTCCCACCATCCTGTCTTGGTGTTCCTAGTTAATAGATGACAGGAAACAATCAAGCCTTTCTTGTTACCACTGGTACAGGATCTTTTATTCAGAATAGTAATGGATCTGTTGGCTCATAGTCACAACACAATTCCCCAACCATGCATTCTGCTCTTGCCACCTCCTTTACTCCATCTGATCCTATGTGATATATGGATTTAAACTTAAATCACCCAAGTGTCAATAAGAGTTATGATGGTGTAAGTCAACTTCAAGTAGGTAATGGTGCGTATCTCCCTATCTCACATACTGGCCATACTTCTCTACTTAGTACTCTTCAATCTAAATGTTTATATCTTAAACACATTTTGTGTGTACCTTCCATTACCAAGAATCTCCTAAGCATTTCTAAATTCACTGTAGATAATGATGTTGTAGAGTTTAATGTTGATTGTTGTTATGTTAAGGACAGGCTGACTAGAGCAACATTACTGCAAAGGGAACTCAAGGGAGGCCTGTACCAGTTGAATGTTCCTTTGCCTAATTTCTTCTATCCACAATCATCTTTAAGGTGTCCTGTTATGTCTAAGTCTTGTCCAGTTGTGTCCAGTAGTTATAATGCAATGTCTAGCTCTTGTGAAGGTATGTCCAGCTCTTGTCTGAATGTGTGCAACTTTAGTTTTCAGAATAATGTTGCTTTACATTGTGATTTGTATCGGTCTGTGCTAATGATACTATCCCTTGTAACACCTTCTCTAATAATAATAATAATCTTTGTTTTCCTGAAAAAACTTTTCAATATAGTGAATATGCCTATCAATTCTGTTGCTACTTGTTTCACTATGATGAAATTGATACTGATTGCATGACATGGCACAACTTAGGACACCCTATTCCCTCATTTTGCAAAATCATTGATGTTTTTACCTAGATGTTTACTTAAGTCTAAAACATTGTCGTTTCTCATCAATTTTGGATGCATGTCAGCTAGGAAAATTATACTTACTAGCTTTCCATCATCCATATCAGCTACACACTTGAATGATTCATAGTGAGTGTGGTCCTCCCCTTACCTTCCTCTGAAGGTTTTAGTATTATGTTCAATTCTTGGATACTATATAGATATACCTAGCTTTTTCCACTTAGGACTAAGGCTAAGTTAAATCAGTCCTATAGTTTCACACTCTCTGAGAGGCAATTTGGCACAAAGTTAAGTGCTACAGTCTGATCAAGGAGGAGAGTACATTGCATTGCATCTTACCTCGTTACTTAGGATTAAGTTCAAACATTCTTTCCCATATACACCAACAAAATGTAGATGTGAGAGACAACATAGGCACATAGTGGAGAGGTTTAACCTTGCTTGTCATGCCTCTATGCCTTCAGTTTTGGTGGTTAGCTTTGAAACTGCAATTTTCTTCATCAATAGAATGCCTACAGCACCTAGCTTATTGTCTCCTTATTAGCAATTATTCAAGGTTCAACCAGTAAATAAGTCTTTGAAAGTGTTTGGATTCATGCTTTCCCTTCGACTTTTAATAAACACAAATTTAGTTTCACTCTACAAATGTATGTTTTGAGGCTATAGTTTGGTTCATAAGGTATAAGTGTTTGAAACGAATGGGAAAATTTATTACTCTGGTAAATTCAATGAGTCTGAATTTCCTTTTTCACAAGGTAGTTTTCCTCCACTTATTCCTCATCCTCTTCTGAGTCCATTTTCTTCTGACCATAGAAAATCTTTTTTTTTTCTTTCTTCCCATTCTACCTCTTTCAAGTTAGGCTCATTCCCTCAGCAGTGCAGCTCATTACAATAATCTACTAAAGCACTTCAACAAGACATTCATTTCTGTTCCACACCACCTCTACCAGATATTAGCTCTACTAGCCTTAAAATCCACACAATCTTCTCAGTCCTCTTCAATCCCAATTCTCTACACTCTCCTACTACTCAACTTTAGGAAAGGCATCTTGACCTCTCTTCCCTCCATCCTACCATCAACATCCGTATTACCACCTTGCTACTGAGTTGATCTTACTTATCAAATTCTCTGAGCTCCCAGCTACCCAGCCACCTCGACATATGTTTCTAATATTCCCTTACAACCAGCGTTACTAATACCTACCCATGGTACAAGAGCCAAAGCAGTGTATCCTTTCCTTCCACGTGAAGTCAATCCTTCCACTGTTCTTCTACAAAACAGAATGTTATTGAACCAAACCTCCACATGTTTGAGGTTTAGCTAATCCTAAATGGAAGGAGG